TGGCAACCCACCACCGGCTTGTGAAAATGGCGAAGTGCCAGGTGTATGGCCCTGAGTTCCAGCCAATTGATGTTTTGTTTGAGATCCCGTTGGGACCACTGCCCTTGCGCTAATTGATGTTGCAGATGTGCCCCCCATCCAAATAGACTGGCGTCCGTGGTCAAGGTTATCCGACTCGGTTCCTTGAACAGGGATCCCTTGGACAAGGCCGGGGATAGCCGCCAGAGAAGGGAAGTAAGTGTTTGAACTGGGACCCGTACCCTCTGAGGAAAACAGGCTACGCCTCGTCTCTGATAAGGGAGCAGAAACCACTGGAGTTGTCTCGTGTGAAGCCTGGCCCAGGGCACTATGGCGATGCAGGAAATTAATTTCCCCAACAGCTGTGAAAGTAGTAGTAGTGTCACTCGCTTTTCCCTGCGCACTTTGGAGACCAATGTGCGTATGCTGACCCGACGCTCCTGAGATAGGAAAACTTGACCCAAATTGGTATCTATTATTGCGCCCAAGTGTAACAACTGGTTGGTTGGAGTCAGATGGCTCTTTTGAATGTTGATCAGGAAGCCATGATCTTGGAGCATCCTGATCGTCAGCGCCACGTCTAGGCAAGCGTTCAGTGCCGAGGACGACTGAATTAGGATATCGTCCAAGTAGCACTGAAGGCGGAACGGTACTAATCTCAACTGTGTGGCAAGAACTGTCAGGATTTTGGTGAAAACCCTGGGGGCTGATGACAGGCCGAATGGCAGGGCCTTGTACTGATAATGATGGTCGGAGTACCTGAATCTGAGGAATCGCCTGTGAGCCGGATGTATGGGGATGTGAAGGTAAGCTTCTGACAAATCTATGGACGTGAGGAAATCTCCCGGCCGAATGCTGCCTAGAATGGAATGAAGAGTCTGCATTTTGAACTTGTGGTACACTAGGTACGAATTGAGGGCCTTGAGATCGAGTATTGCCCTCCATCCTCCCGAGGTCTTGGGGACCACAAAGAGGATGGAGTAGAATCCTAGTCCCCATTGATCCGGTGGTACCTGCTCTATTGCTTCTATGGAGAGTAAATGTTGAATGGCCTCGTTCATGAGACCCTGCTTTACGGGATTTCGTGATAGGGGGCAAGCGATGAAACGTCGGGGGGGAGGAGCCAGGAATTCTAGAGACAGACCATCTCTGATGGTGGTGAGAACCCAGATGTCTGTGGTGGTGCTTTCCCATCTGTGGAAGTAATGTGACAGTCTTCCGCCGATGGGGGGAGTCCGTTCCGAGTCACTTAGTCTTGCGGAAGGGACGACCTCCCCTGCCCCGGAAGGGTCGCTTGCCCTGAAATTGCGGCTTTGGCCTGTCTCTGTAGCCGGACCGGTCCAAGGAGCGGTCCGGCCCTGTTTGAAAGGGCCGATACCCGCTCCAGGAGTTTCGGTCTGAGCCAGACCTAAACGACGGGCGTCGATTATATGGAGAAAAATGTCTGCCCGTCCTTTTGGAGAGGTGAGAAAGTACTTTCTTTTTCTCCTTGTTTTCAATCAAGTAAGGAGTGAGGGCCTCCCCAAAGAGGCGACCACTCTGATACGGTGCAGCCGCTACCCTCCATTTGTGCCTGGTGTCGGCCCGCCAATTCTTAAGCCAGAACAACCGACGTGCAGCCACATTGGAAGCTATGGCTCGAGCCAAATATCTGGCCGATTGCAGAGACACGTCCGCCATATATTCCAGAGCAGCCTTCAACTTAGTGACGTCCTGGTGCACCCTCATCTCGTCTGGGGAAATTCTGGCCTGGAGTTCACGAAGCCATATCAGTGAGATGCTGGCGAAGAAGGAATTAGAAGTTGAGGCTCTTATCGCCAATGCCAAGGCCTGGTGAGTCCTACGGAAGGAAATCTCAGATTTCTTGTCCTCGGCCTTAAGGGCCTCAGACATATCCCCTGGGATCTTGGTGTCTGACAGAATAGGGGAGAGAGACTCATCCACTCCTGGGACCTCTAGAGCATCATTGAGGGAAGGGACTGTATCCAAGAGCTTACGGTCTATTCCCCCAAGAGCTGAGAAGGTACCAGGGGATCCCCATTGTTCTTGAATGGATTGCAAAAACATGGGGGGGGGGGCAAGGAATCTGTTGGTTCTTTGTAACCGGCTTCAGAAACAGCGGATCAGAGGCCTGGTCAGAGTCCTGATCGGCTGTTTGAGGCTTCATCGGTTCAATCTTCCCAGTAACGCAGGCCTTGCGCAAGAGGGAAGAGAAGGCGGCAGGGTTAAACACCCCAACCAGAGGAGTGGCCTCCGTATGAGTGTCCTCATCATCCGACCACAGGCCCTCTTCGAGGACCTGCTTGGAATATTCCGATACCTCGCTTCCCTCGGATTGTAGTGGGGAGGTCGGATCTGGGGGCTCATAATCCCTGGAATGTGTAGTTCCCACAGATGTGGAAGGGTTGGAGGGCCCTGAGGTCGGAGGGGCCCTCCCAGAAGATGTCATTGCCTGAACCACCGCCTGTGAAATCATGGCCTGAAGTTGGGCGGTGAAAGACGGATGTTCTGGGGACCGGAGACCCGCCGCCGTCGGGGTGAATGATGCCGACGGAATTTGAGGGGGAGCCACAAAGGAAATTTCACCCAGATTCCCACATGCTATCAAGGATGGGCCCAGATTGGTGGCCGGGGCTGGTCCCTGAACCTGCATCCTGAGGTCCTGTTCAAATAGGGACAGATGGTCCCTACTGTATCCAAGCAATGGTCCCTGATCAAGGGTGTGCTCGGGGGACCAAGCCCATGGAAGGGGAGAAGGGCGTGGACCTTCTGATGTAGATGGAAGGGGAGGAGATGTGGGAATGGGTTGTACCTCCACTGTGCGTTGTTGGGCTTTGGAAAATTGCCGTTCCAATGCCCTATGCCTGCTGCCTGCCTGTTTTTCGGCCGTTTTAGATGTCTGTTTGACCTTGGCCTTGGCTTTTGATGGTGCTTCCTGGTTGGGCGATTTGTGTTTTGCATTTCCACTTGAGGTGGAGGCCTGTGGAACGGTGTTGTCCGCCATGATACACTAACATAGTAAATAACAGGAGTTTACCAGGAGATCCCTGGATCCGTCCTGGTCTGCAGGAGACAAGGCTACGGCCCACTAAGGTGGTACAGGCCTACACGAGGGTCTGTGAGTCCGGTCCACCGACAAGCGCGGAGTCACAGCGTGCGATATAAGCCGCTTGTCGTCCCAGGGAGCTGTCCTGTTCCCTTAAACAAATCCGTATCAGGTACTATGAACAGTTGATTTGTTTTATTATTATTATGAATTAAAAGTTTATTATTATTTTTTTTTTTAATAGGGAACCCTCGTGTCTCACTTAGTGGCGGCCCTTTTGGGACAGCGACTGGCAAGCTACTAGATGCAGACAGCGGAACAGGCAAGCAAGCTGCAGCAGCCCAAATAATGCTCAATTTGAATGAGACCAGCAGGCAGGAATGTATGAATGTAATAATAGCTTGAGGTAGGAATGTTCCTAAGAACTCTCCCTGTCAGCCACGAGGCTGCCTAAAATGGCGTCTGCCAAGGTAGAGGGGGGGGGAATGGAAGGAGGCAGAAAGACCTGATCCAACGGGGGAAATAGGAGCCCCTATACCCCCGCGTAAGGCTGCCTCGCAAAGAAAATCAATCGATTAGAGAGAAAAGGGCCCTTTGCACAAATTGTCCAAACGTTCCCCCAAATAAATTGTGAAAGGTGTGATCGCGCGGAGGCCCAATATGGCGGCCGCAACGATCCAAATTAATTTGGAGTAAAACGCTCTTCACTCCCAACGGGGGAAAATAGGAGCCCCTATACCCCCGCGCAAAGCTGTCTTCGAAGAGAGATTGATTGGAGAAGAAGAAGCCCCTGCAAAGGTTCTAAATGTCTCCCTAAGCAATTTGGTGAAGGGAGCGATCACATGGAGGCCCAAAATGGCGGCCGCGATGATCCGAGTCAGTGAGACTTGTTCTCTCCTCTCTTTAGATGAGAAACAGCCATTAGAGGTGCTCCGATCAAGTTGGGAGGAAGGCAGGCAGATCGGGAAGGTAAGAAAGTCCCTTAGTAAGGAAACGAAAGTTGACGGTGCTATACCAAAAGGGGGGTGGGGGGAGGGCTAGCCATCGCCTCGCTGCACAAGGCAGCGATCGTGATGAGCAGCTAATACCGGCAAGGGCTTGCCTGGGAAGGAAGAGAGGATCCGTACAGTGCTGTGCAGGGCTAAATTAGTTCCCCCCCCCCACAACGAAGGTGAAGAATCCACGGATGGAAGTCTACTACCTGAACACTAATTCGGGAGCCAAAATTCCACGTCTCTTCAGGGCTGAGACCAAAATAAACTGGGGCATGGTCAGACCCTGAAGGGGCGTGGCAACTTTGATTGTTGGTCTAATTGGGCTAGAGGACTTCTAAAACCTATCCATGGATTCTACATTCCTACACTTGCTGGAGAATAGAATAGAATCTGGAAGGGACCTTGGAGGTCTTCTAGTCCAGCCCCCCACTCAAACAGGAGAACCTATACCCATGGTGGCGAACCTATGGCACGCGTGCCACAAATGGCACACAGAGCCCTCTCTGTGGGCACGCGCGCCGTCGCCCCAATCCTAAGCCTTCAGCTGGGTTTTATAAAACCTTTTCACTTTAGGCCTCTGCCATGTGCAAAAAAAAAAAGGTTCAATCAATCAATCAATTTCAACTTCTCGCAGGGAAAAAAAAGATCTCGCAAAGTTGGAATTGATTGATTGAACTTTTTAGTCCCACTCAGTCTGCCGTTACCACCACAGCCACACTCACCCAATGGGCCACGCCCACCCGGCACCCAACGATACATAAGTGGAGTTGGGTTGCAGTTTGGGCACCCAGTCTCTAAAAGGTTCGCCATCACTGATTATACCATCTCAGACAAGTGATTTCTCTCTCCTGGCTTAAGTTCTCTGAGGAAAAGGATATCTTTTAAACAGTTATACAATTTTACAACTGCTTACTCTTATAAACAACTCAATCAGAAATTACCTGATGGGGTCTGCTTCATAACATCCCATGCATCTGAATCCCAAGACATCAAGTCTAAATCAAAGTCAAGGTCACCAAGACTGCTTTCCTATAAATGATAGTAAGCAAGGTTATGGGAAGACATGCAACAAAAGAATAGTGGCTAGCTACAAAAGAATTACAGTATTGCTTTCCTTTATCAAATAAGTTCCTTGAAGATAGGTTGAAAATAAAGGATAAAAATGCTACGCTGCTATCAGGAGATCAATTTTACTACATTCTCACCTTTGTTTCTTGCCATTATAACTCTGAAACAATTTGCTTTATATATCAAACACAAACTAGCCATGCCTTCCAGGACACAGCCTAATAGCTACAGAATGTTTACCCAGATAATATTTGACACTGTAATCTTTCATGGCAGTACGTGTGTTCTCTTTTATTTTTCAGCAGCATAAGGTATTACAAATGGGAAACTTTGGACCAGCAATATTGCGTAAAACACTGCTTTAATAATCTACAGCACTGGTATTTATTATGTCATGGGTACATAAATATTTAAACAGACTCAGTAATTATTGAATACAAATTGCTTAAACTACAGAAATGTTTTATTATTTTACTCATTGTCCATTACATATTTGTTAGTACAAGTATAATTCACATATCAATGCTTTTCATGTAGCTTGTCTAAAATTAAAAATTTAAGAACATTAAACTTTCATAAAGCTTTTTAACTTTAAGAACAAGTTTAAGTTTTATAGAAATAGGGAAGAAATCATCTTAGCCATGACAGCAATATAACACTATTTTACAAATTAATATTTCACTTTCTCCCAATTCCCAATAATCAGATGCCTTAAACAATTCCAAATCCATATTTTAACATGAAAACAATCAACATTTCAGGAATCAAAATCAGTTTTGTCTGACTAGTTACTCTCCAATGAAACACAAACTTAACATCATACATTAGTAATGCAGGATAAAGAGACAGTGAAAAGGCTTTTTAAATAGCTAATACAGGTTGTCCTTGACTTATAACAATTAGTTTAATGACCATTCAATAACACTGAAAAAAGTGACTTGCAATCGATCCTCACACTTGCAACCATCACATGGTCATGTGATCAGAATTTGGATACTTGGCAGCCAGCATGTATTTATGATACTTGTAGCATCCCAGGTTCATATGATTGCCATCTGTAACCTTCCCAGTAGGCTTCCAATAAAGTCAGTGAGGGAAACCATTTGCTTAACAACCATGTGATTTGCTTAACAACCACATGACTCATTTAATAACTGAGGCAAAAAAGTCACAAAATCAAGTGCAACTCACTTAATGACCATGACACCATGATGCTTAGCAACAGAAGGTCTGGTCCCAACTGTAGTTTTAAGTCAAGGGCTACTTGTACATATAAATATGCATAATAAATGAAACATTCAAATTGCAAAAACTAAAATTGCATGTATTGTGAACTGAAAGCAAACTGTTAAAAGTGCAAGTATGAAAGTAGTCACAGGCCAATTTTAGAGATAGTAACTATGTTTTCTGATGTAAATACATTTAATTGGCTCTTCTATAACCGGCATCCTTTGCTCTGTGCAGCTTGCTAAATAAGAAGAGATTAGACAGCCATTTGTTTGAAATGGTATAGGGCAGTGGTGGAGAACCTATGGCACACATGCCAGAGGGGGCACTCAGAGCCCTCTCTATGAGCACGTGCGCCTTGCTCTTTGGCTAAGTTTTTGCAGGAAAAAAGCCATTTCTCAAGCCCCTTCCTAGCAAAAACAAGCCTCCAGAGCAAACATGCCTCTCTCTTCTTAAGAGCAATCCTGCGAAAACAAGTCTTCGCAGGATTGCTCTTAAGAAGAGAGAGGCATGTTTGCTCTGGAGGCTTGTTTTTGCTAGGAAGGGGCTTGAGAAATGGCTTTTTCCTGCGAAAACTTAGCCAAAGAGCTTGCAGTCTCTGCCAGATCTCCATTGGGATAAAGTCTTTTAGCTCCTATAGACCGCTTCCAAATGCAGCCAGTCCCTGCGTTTGGAAGCGCTCCATAGGTGCGGAAATCTTTTTTATCCCAACGGATATTTGGCAGAAGGCTCTGTTTCTCAAGCACCCCATTCCAGGTATACGGAGCTTGAGGGCTCTGAGGCTTGTTTTCACCAGGAAAAAGCCATTTCCCAATGCCCTTCCTGGCGAAAATGGAACCAAAGCACACCATGCTCTTATTGAGAGCAATCCTGCGAAAACAAGGATGACAAAAGACAGCACAGTTAGTTCTGAAAATGAAATCCTTAAAAGTGTGGAATTCTCTGCCAAATAATTTTAAGTCAATGAAAGCACTTGGGATTGCTTTCCTTACTTTGTTTGGATCATCTTATGCTTGTGAGCAGCTGTTTTCAGCTTTGAATTATATCAAATCTGACATCAGAAACAGACTAGCAGATGACCTGAGTGCTGCATGTGTTGCTCTCAAACTTACAAAATATGAGCCAAGGTTAGTTAAATTATCAGCATGCATACAACAGCAAAAATCACATTAATTCTTCAAAAGCATGCCAAATACAAACTTTTACCTTTCAATAAAAAGTTGTTTGTATCATTGAAAGCTTTGTTGTTGTGTTTTTATTTTAAGACAAAAGATGTTAATGCATGAGTTCTTTTTTCTAAACTAAAACCTCAGTATTCAGGTTAAATTGCTGTGTTGGCACTTTGCGATAAATAAGTGGGTTTTGGGTTGCAGTTTGGGCACTCGGTCTCTAAAAGGTTTGCCATCACTGGTACATTGAGCAGGGAGTTGAACTAGAAGACCTTCCAACTCTGTTATTCTGTTATTTAAATAGATGGATTGTTTTAGATTTCTTGTGTTAAAGCTACAGCAAGTTCCAACTGCTGCTAATCAGAAAAAAATATGTTTTATACTATTCTTGTGATTAGGAAGATCATAAAAGCACCAAGGCTGATAAACTTCATTAACTGATCTTTCTATCACTTCTCTCCACATATTAAATATGGCCATTTTCTGTTCTGCTTTCTTTTCTGTAGTTGAACAAAATCCTAAATCCCGTGACATAAAGTTCTTTGTAGCATTTTATTGGATTGAAAAGAATAAAAACCAGTATAAAAAAATTAAGGTTAAGAATGCTTTCCTCTTACTCACATATGTTTCATTCTCTACATCTAGCTGAAGTTCATCTTCTCCCAAGAGATCACCAATTTCACTGAAGAGAAGAGACTCTAGGATTTAAATAAGTACATAGGGTATATAAGTCACACAAAATAATTCAGGCTTTCCTCATTTCCTAGAAATAAGAAACAGACCATTCCACTGGGCAAATTCTGCAGCAGTAACAAAGCAGCAGGACATAATTTTATTGTATGTCATTTCAAATTTTCATTCCAGAATTCAGTGTTTAAAATATAGAAATGCACACTTTTCAGGAAACGGACTCTTTGCCAAGTTTATTTACATATTATATATACCTCTTCAGTCATCATGAACTTTAGGTGGTTTACTAAAATAATAAAACTACATTTTAAAGCTTCAATAACAAAGTTGCAACAGTTAATGTCAATTAATAACAAAATATATAGACATGAATATACACACATTTCTATACCCTACCCATAGCCCAGCCCCCCCCAAGGCTTCTGGAAAAAGCAAATTTACAAGCTCCCAGGCCATCCTCACCTCAGGAAGCAAACTGTTCTATAAGAGGGAGTTGTCAGCAAAACATCCAATGGTAAGTCCCCTCCTGATAGATGAGAACTCTTAATAGATACTCTCTAGCCATCTGGGGTAGATAGCTAGAGGCTACCTGAGAAAGATGATCTCTTAGATACCAAGCACTGAGGGCTTTAAAGGTAGCAACAACCATTATACTGAATTGCACTCACAAACACTGGCAACCAATTACAACAATAGTGTATCATTACAGTACCAAGACTGGTCAACAAACATGCTTGCTCTTGCATTCTGGACCAGCTGAAGTTTCCAGGTAGTCTTTAAGGACAGCATTAAGGAGATCAAATTACAGAAATCTAATTAGGAACATCCTGTTTCAGACAAAGTCACAAGTGGCATACCAACCCACCTGGGCAATGGCCCTCCTGCTTACATGGTTTCCCAGAGCTATGAATGAAACTATGAACTCAGAGGAGCACAACCCTTTCAAGAGTCAAAGATGGTATAATTCAGGAATCAGAATGTTCTTCAATTAAGAGTCACTCTGTCTTGTTTTTTTTTTTTTATTATATCTTTTTTATTATTTTTTTACAATCATAAGCATAAATAAACACAAAAACAAGTAAAATCCCCCACCACCACCCCGGACTTCCCAAACCTAATCCCAGGATAATATTCATATATAAGTAAACAAATACTAATATCTCTAACTCCACAAAATATCTTAATCTACATAAAGAGATGGAAAGAGTAAACAAAATAAAAGAAATCTAAAAACCTAAGTTGTATTCTACCACTCTATGCTTCTTTTGAATATAAACAATCCATCTTCTCCATATC